TAAAGGCACCAAGTCCTTACCAAATCCTGCAGCATCTAAACCATTTTTCCTCTTTCCTCACAACCCCTCTGCTCTTATCATTTCCTCTAATCATCTGTGAATTCCCTTTATTTCAGTCATTTTTGCTTTGCTCTTCAAGAAGTGTGTCAATAATGCAGCTATCTCTGGGGTCTTTGTACTTGTATTTCTCTATGCCCGCAATTCCTTTTTGCCTGACCATTGCATGATGTTCTATTGGTACCTCCTTGAGATTTTGGCTCTAATTCTATCTTACTACTGACTTCCTCCCTTCCAATTCCTACTGAAGATTGCAACTCCCTTGCAGCATCCTTGGTTGGGAGCCCATATCTGTCTCCACCCCTCTTCCTAGCTTCACTATTTTCCCCATGACTATTACCACATGACATATGCATGCATTTTATTTGTTTTGTTTTTTATCCGTTGCTCTTCCTAGCATGTAAACCCCAAGAAAAAAACTTTCTTTCACTTTTTCTCATGCTTCTAATACTATTGTAGCCCTTCCAGCATATAGCAGGTGTGTAAGTGACATTTGTGGTTGAATGAATAAGTTTCAGCTAAATGAATGTGAGGTTTTTATAGGTTCCTATATACACACGTGTATAGCAAACAACTGGGTGCAAGGTGAACATTTCTTTAAGGTTTTGTGCTTCCTTCTTAAAATCCAGACGTTTTACAATCTAATATACAGATTTGCATTTTATTGTAAACATGTCTTCAAAAACCTTTGAACGAGAGTGATAGTTTGAGAGTATGTTCCTCCTGAGCCACTATAAATCAGCATAAACCATATATTGATTGAGTAGCACAGTCAGGTATTAGTAATTTCATTTTATCTTGTTATTTCATTTTATCTTGTTATAAATTAGTGTTTCTGACCCTTACCACACAGAGAGCTTTAAGATGCCAGGTGATTTCAAAGTTTTCAAATACATGTGAGAGGTATACAGAACTTGACATGTCAAGTTGGTAGTAAAGGAGGAAGCTTCAGATTACCCTTGCCAGCTTCAGTGAGCAGTCCCACTTTTGGCTGACCCATCCTACATTTTTGACTCCAGACAAATCTCTAGGCTTTTCTGATGAACAGTGAGTTAACCATTATTCATCATAAAATTCTGCCCCAGAGTTTAGGCTCACAGGGAGACTAAGATAATAGACAATACCTGAGGAAAATGGCCAGAAAGACTCAAACCAGCCCAACCACCATGTAGATTCCTGCATTCTCTGCAAAACACTTTTTGATTGATAAGAAATGCAAAGGACCTTTAAAAAGGCCTGCACAAAACTCTTACTTTAAACTTAGTTCTATATACTAAGTTCCTTATCACTTGGAGCTCTGTTCTTCCATCTTCTACTTTCCAATAAACTTTTCTACTTTCCATCTCTGAGTTGAGTGGCTTTATTATTCAATATTTTCATTGATGAAAATATTGAAGAATCTGAAATTGCGAATGAACACAGAGACCTACTGCCACAGCTTCTGCCTCAACTGCATCAACAGCAAGTAGAATGCCACTTGCTCTAAGACTACTCTGAGTATACTTGGGAAATACTTAATGTGGACTAAAATAAAAAACAAACTTTGTGAGAAAATGAGTCTTTAATATCAAGAAGCAAAAATAGTAAGTGTTAGCTACATATAATCTTTTGTAGTTGTTCAGCTGATAAAGTAGACCAGAAGTACCTAAGGAAACAGACAACACCACAAGTATGTAGCATTTGCCTTATAAAACAGGCAAATGATCCTTTGATCTACCTTGATTTCTTTTGTCTGCATTCTTATTAGGCAATCAGAATGTCTTTTAGCACAAAGAAGCTTTCTTTTTAATTCACACTCTGTTAGATAAGTTCTTCTCTCTCTCTCTCTCTCTCTCTCTCTCTCTCTCTCTCTCTCTCTCTCTCTCTCTCTCTCTCTTCCTTTCTGGCATTTCCATCTCAGTCTTTCTCCACTCTCCAGTTTTTCTTTGTTTCCCTGAGGCTTGATAACTAGAGGTGAAAAAACTTGGATGTAAGTACAAAGAAATGAGTTCAATGTGGGAAATCCAAATGCTGGGAGTTTGAGAAGAGCATGAGGCTGACTTTCGGGGCCTTTTGGCAGATCGCAAAGAGGCCTGGCAGAGCCTTCCAGGTCTTCACAGAAGAGAGCTGCTCACCTGGCCTGTGCACTGGGCCCTGCAGAGCAGCCTAATCTCCCCTGCCTGCGGGTCACCTCACAGTCTGTAAATATAGGGAGGAAGCTTCTTCTGGAGTGGAGAAAACATAAATAAGGCAGCTAATTCAGCATCTGCTATAGATTGTGGTGAGGTGCATGCACAGACCAGGCTTCATGGATATAAATCACTTTGTCATGAGGCATCATCGGTGTTAAGGTAAATGAATCAATTGCATTTTGTCATTAGTGATAATCAGCAGGTCATGTATTATATAATTTACCTACTTTTAGTCCTGACTAGAGCACTTTTCATTGAGGTACTTATTTACAGTCCTAGAAATGACTTATGATTCTTAATGTGCTTCAGTTTGTCATTTCAAAGCTTCTCTATCATTGTTCCAGAGTCAGATACCAAGCAAAGAGGGATTTCTGCATAACCAGAGTTCTCTAAGATAACAGTAAGTAGAGAAGCATGAGAAGGAACAAAGGAAGAATTCTAAAATATAAAGCATGCCCTCAAAGATACAGATGGATGCGATCTTTTTTATCTAACAGTTTCTAGGTAACAGGAACTGATCCAGTTATTTACACAATTAGAAAGAGTTCCAACATTTCTAATATTCTTGAATTTCTATAAGTGACCTTTTTTTAAATTTTTTTTTTCTTTTTGGGTCACACCCAGAGATGCACAGGGTTTACTCCAGGCTCACGCACTCAGGAATCACTCCTAGCGGTGCTCAGAGGACCATATGGGATGCTGGGAATCGAACCCGGGTTGACTGTGTGCAAGGCAAATGCCCTACCTGCTGTGCTACTGCTCCAGCCCCTATAAGTCACCTTTTAAATGTAACCCTTGTCATGTATTCCACCATGATTTCAGAGACCCACAAATTATTATGTCTGCGTCCTTCTGTTTTCTTCTTCTAATTTATTTTTTGGTCTTATACAAGGAGGTACATTTATGTACATCCTACATCTTATACAAGGAAGAACCAAAGAAAATGTCTTGCCTGAATATATTATATATCAATGTCAAACTTACCTCATCCTTCATTCTCTCTGCCAGAATCTCCCCTCCCCCATCCTCTTCATCACAATCACATTTTTCACTGCCTGCAAGGGAGTTAGAATGTGGAGAGTTCCCTAAACCTCGAAATACTTTTGTGTTTGAAAGTCCCTTGTTTTTCTTCCCGCCCCCTCTTCTTGACATTTGGCAGCTGCCTTTCGCTGACTATTCAAAATAGTTCTCTAGTGCACACTGCCTTTCTTCTTGACTTATAGTCCATTTAAAGTCACTCCTCCCAGTACGTAAATTGTCGTTTGTCCTTAAACCAGTCTGTAGCACTGTAGCACTGTCCTCCCATTGTTCATCAATTTGCTTGAGCAGGTACCAGTAATGTCTCACAACAAATTGTGAGACTTATTGTTACTATTTTTGACATATCGAATATGTCATGGGTAGCTTGCCAGGCTTTGCCATGCGAGCAAGATACTCAAGATACCTGCCGGGCTCTCTGAGGGGGCGGAAGAATCAAACTCAAGTCAACCATGTTGGCTGCGTGCAAGGCAAATGCCCTACCCACTGTGCTATTGCTCCAGCCCAGTTTAAAGATGATTATTAATCCCACACTGAGATAATTGCTTATCCTCCCAGTCTGGAGGAGACATATGGAATGAAATACTCAAGCAGGTAAAGAAATTAGTGAAAAATTCTGGATAATGACAAAAATCAGAATACAAAATGCCAAACAAGGTTAAATTCTCCAAATCCTTAAATACAGGGAATATCGTTTTGTTGTTGTTATTGTCATTGTTACAGCACCTGGGACGGTGTTTGTTATATGGGATAAAATGTATAAGTATGCTGAATTGTTCTATGATTCACTTTTTTGTTGTTGCATCATGAAAACAAGTCCCATTTATTCTAGTAGAATACAGAAGGGCAGACAATTGAAGTTATCCTATCTTAATCCATCTACCTTGAGTAGTTATGAAAAAGTCAGCCAAAATCTGGAAGAGTCCAAAAGAATGAGTAAGAGCTTAAACTCTGAACTATACTACTTTAAATTTGTGTGTCCCTGAAAATATCACTTAACCTAAGCTTTCATTATCTCCTTTGTAACATGGGAATAAACAGAACCTTGCTATAAGATTATTATAATGATTAAATGATAAGTTCATGAAGAGTTACCAGAATGAACACACACACACACACACACACACACACACACACACACACACTTATGTCACCGAACTTGAAAGCTTTAAACACACAAAATTTAAGACATAGCTGGGCTGCACATAATCACAGCCTAATAATAAAATGACTTGGAAAGAATCTGTGCTAAGCATTGATCAAAATTCACTTTTAAATGAAGAAAACCCAATTTTATAATTTTACAGTGGTAAAACTGAACTTGACCTGACCTTCCCACACTCTCCCTGCTATATCCTACCAAGCATTCTAAATCATAAATTTAGAATAGACTCTAAAAACATTCTCAATCAGATAGGGACTAAATATGCAGTGCATTCTCATTCCAGGCAGCAAAATTTATGTATGCATATTGAATAAACCTAGATTCGTGTATAATTCACTGCTAACATGCCTCAAAATTAAAGGTTTGCAAATACCTGGGATTATTTGAGGTAACCTGAATGATTCTCCTATCCCAAAAAAGAAGCATGTAGCTTTTGTTATATTTTCATATTTGTCTTGATTTCAAAGGAGATATTCCAAGCTGCTCAGATGTTATTACATCAGAGTCAAGCCAGGGAAGAAGAACCAACTAACAAACCCGAAGATTGTTCAGTCTGTGTTGCATCTTACATTTGGTTGCAGAGAGTTGGGATTTATACTGCCCTCGGACCAGCCTACAGGTAGACCCATCTCCACTGCAGACTCCACAGTTATCTTCCTTGGCGGTGCTTCCCAGTTGGTGATCACAGCCAACAATCTACAGGGAAGAGAGATGTGCAATTCAATTAGCTGCCTACTAATGAGGGAAGCCACTATAAGGCCATCACAACCAAGGGATCCTCTTTTCATCATTGAGGAAGAATAAATGCCTGAAGTGGAGAAAGAGTAGGATAAAAACAGGAGGAGTAGGGAGAAGAGGAGCTAGAACGAAGAGGGAGATGAGGAAAAGGGGGAAGGTAAGAGAGAATAGAATCTTGAAGTACTGATATTGTAGAATCCTAAATTAAAAATAATTTTACTGTCAAAATTATCATTCACCTAAATCACACAAAAATATAACCACAAGGTAAATAGAGCAGGATTTTTTTAAAAAAATGACTAGACTCCATATCCCATATGCTCTTTGGCATGTATGCTGTCTGGAGTAAGGGTTCATATCCTAGGTTCGTTGATGAATTCCAAACAACTCGACTAGTTCTTGGCAAATTTGAGGTCAACAATAAATATTTGCTGAATGACAAAAAATGTGGTTTGTTTTCTAGCTGGTAGTTCAACTAAGACGAAAGAAACAATCACAGAACCTGCTAACAGAAATAAAACTAGTGTAAAAGTGTCTTCTTAGAGAAAAGGGTTGGCATGGAGTGTAGCAGAGATAACCAACACTATGATTTGTCTGTCCTTCCCGATATAGCACAGAACAAACATCTCATTAATTCTCAGAACAATTGTACATGGTATCTACATTTTAGATTTGAGGCCATGACTCTTGCCAGAATCACTTGGCTAGCAAGTAATCAATTTCTAAACATGTTTAACTAAACTCATACACTTACTCAGAATTAGGCTCAGCAAAATATAACCCTTTATCAAATATATGGACAATCACATTTATATTTTCTATTTTTCCTTTTCATTGTTCAGTTTAAAATATTGAATCTAAATGGTACAGGCTTGTGTTTCTATAATTCTAATTAGTTCTGTCTGATATCAAATGGCCAATTCTATTCCCAGACTATTTCAACTGTTATCTTAACAAAATAAGAACTGTAATTATACTTGAAGATAATTGTTTCTACAGAGCCTCTAATAGTTTATCTTGTCTTTCAAAAGTATGGTTGTTAGTGTTACCTTGAGGTCTGATTTCCCTCTTTGTGCTTTTAATGAATATTTGCAAGTGCATTAATGAAAAGTTTTACAACAGATGATAAAGCAACAATTCTTTCAAAAGTGAGTTGATAGAGAGAAGAGAGATAGTACAGCAGACAGGGCTTTTGTCTTGCTTGTGCTGATCTCGGTTCAATCTCCAGCATCTTATATGATCATTCAAGCCTGTCAGGAGTGATCCCTGAGCACAGAGCCTGGAGTAAGCCTTAAACACTGCTGAGAATGACCTCTCCTCCCCCCAAAGCAAAGAACAATAAAAGAAAGTGGTGGATTTTTTTAAATGTTTTGCTGCCAGAAAAAAATAAGAGTGCTCCAGCCCTTCAGTGGGGGGAAAAATAAGAGAGCAATTCCCCTTCTTAACTGGTTTATTGTGGTAAAGTTGAAATTCCCCCCAAAATGTTCAAAAGGAAGGCCATAAAATAGTAAGGCCACTTCAGAATTCAATCAACCTTCATCCATTCAGAAACAAGCATGTAGTGACCTAAGACTTTTTGATGTTTTTCTAGGCAACTGCAGTAAAAATATTTTCAAAATTATCATCTGCAGGTGAATGTACATGAGTTGAACAACTCTGTTTTCATTTCTGTATTCTGAAAAAGTGGGTATGCATAATTAACTTGCTTAAATATATGATTTCTCTTCAATTGTCTAGTAAGCAATGATTAAAAGCCTGTAATGGTGTGGGCATTATGCTACAGCAAATGCAAATATTTTTGGCCTAGTTAGAGAGGTCAGAGAAGATTTCAAGTTTTACAAAGATAAGTCTTTTAAACTAAGACATAAATGAGGTGTTCACATTAACTTAATAAAGGGAATGTATTGCTGTGAGATTTATTGCATCTTCTCATTATGCATCAATACTAGTTAGAAAAAATTAAAACCAAAATGGGAAAAACATTCCACAAACTGAATATAAAAAGACTAAACCATTGATTGCCTAAGAAGGGTTGAATATTTAGAAAAGAATGAAATATTTATCTCGTCAGCATTCAAAGACTCTACTGTGAATATCTGGGGATTAAAAGAGCTGACCTTAAACTTACAAAAGACTCAATTCTGTGGAAAGGCAAGATCTATGAGTAATTACACTCTGGTGTCACAAACATAATGTACTTTACTTCTAAATAAAAGACACTTTAGGTTTTCCCAAAAAGTTGAGTTCTTTCTGAAAAACTTTTCAAGAGCTCTGCTGTCTGTAAAAGAGATGAAGAGATAATCAGGTAACTTTCTCTAATCTTAAGTATTCTTATGGTTTAGAGCCATCATAATAAAAGAACAACCTACACTCCAAGATCCCAACTAACAATCATTAGGAACCACTAAACAGAAGGCAACACATTTTAAGATTTACTTGGCCAGACCACCAGCTTGGTGCTTTCAGTGAGACTTTATGGATCCCAAGACACTTTTAACTAGAACTGAAAACGCAGAACTGAACTGAAAAACGCAAACATCTTTCTGACACATTCTTTTCCCTCTGTATCAATTTAAGATTCCCAAATAGTCTTACTAAATTATTATCATTTAAAATTTTCTTTTGTTGGAGGAAGTTTGGGGCCACACCCAATTGTGCTTAGGGTTGATTCCTGGAAAATGCGTAATGCTTTCTCATCAGATAAACCCCTTTTTCAGTCCAAGTGTTTATAGCAGAGAAATTATAATTTACATACCTCAATGTGTTGATCTTTAATAATTAACACATCAAAAATATCTAATCTGCTACTTTAAGAATCATCAATAGCAAAAACATGTATAGGAATATAAAAATGAGTTTTATTAGAAGATAATTTGCCTTACCTGTTTGTCATCTGTACCTGCTATTATTTCTGCCTGCTATGCTCTCCCCAAGCAATTTATTCTGCAAACTCCTATTTATCCTTCAAGTCAAAAATATAGTGTCTCTTTCCCAGAAAAGTCTTTTCCAGATCCCAAAGCTATCTGCTGCTATATGTTTACCCTGCCTTTTTCATAACCCCAAGTGGTGAAGATTAGTAGTTGACACCTAATACCCATTTCCCCCATTTTTCTCAGTAACAGAGCTCCAATTATGTTTGAGGTGGAAACATAACCATTTAAGGAATACATTTCTCATGGGCTATGTGATCAAACTGTAACTAGTGAAATGAAAGAGGGGAAGTGTATAGAGCCTGAGGAAGGCTGCTGAAAAGGAGCTGGCAGAGTAGGGGAAGGCCTCTTTTGACTTCCTTTCTTCCTGTTGGCTCCAGTTGCTATTTTGAAAAATGAGATAATCTTGTGACTTGAACACCTGCATTAAGCATGACAGAGCAGAAGAAGAAAGCACCTCTGGAATCCCACTTGGATTGATTACATATATCTTGATTCTGTTTCTTTTCTCATTTATTATTATTGTTGTTGTTGTTGTTGTTGTTTTGTTGTTGTTGTTTTGCTCTGCTTTTAAAAACATTTATTACAGTTTACTGTGGTGTTAAAATTTATGGTGTTGACATACAAAGTAATTGCACACAACTACCACTCAGCAACAGTCCCTATGTCATCTTTAGTCTGATCTTCATTTTCCTCTACTCCTCCCTCTACTGCTTGTTAATCAGCTCTGTGATCAATCCAAAGCCAAGAGTTTGTCATCATTCAATACAATCTGTTCCCTTGTTTTGTCTCTCTCTAATCCACAGATGAGTGAGATCATCCAGTATTTGTCCTCTCTCCGGCTTATTTCGCTTAACATGATATCCTCCAGTTTCTTCCATATTGCAGTGAACTGCATGATTTCATCTCCTCTGACAGCTGAGTAATATTCCATTGTGTATACCTATAAATCACAACTCTTTTATCCATGTCTTTGGACATCTGGGTTCTTTCCCTACCCTGGCTATTGTATGAAATGCTGCAATAAACATAGGTGTGCATACCTCTTTTCACATGAATGTTTTTGTTTTGGGGGTAGATGATAAGAACTGGGATCACTGAGTTGTATGGGTGTTTCATTTTCACTCTGGAAGGCAATTCATACTGCATCCCATGGAGATAGAACAAACAGGAAAGATAAGTCCTTTTTAACTGTATCCCTGTCAATGTTGGTTATTTCCAGTCTTTTAAAGATACACCTCATTGGTGTGAGATAATATATAGCTGTTTTTTTTTAAATTTTTAATTTCCCTGATAATAAGTGATGTACACATTTTTCATATGCCTACTGGCCATTTGTATGTCTTCTTTGGGGAAATACCTATTCACCTGGTTTTGTGCAAGAAAAATACTTTCATGTGTTTAATCAATTATTACTTTTTGACATTACCCAATTAAAATAGCCAACAACATATCAAATTTTATCTAGTCTCTGAATTTTTTTTTTCTTTTTGGGTCACACCTGGCAATGCACAGGGGTTACTCCTGGCTCTGCACTCAGGAATTACTCCTGACAGTGCTTAGGGGACCATATAGAATGCTGGGGATCGAACCCGTGTTGGCCGCTGGCAAGGCAAATGCCCTGCCCACTGTGCTATCACTCTAGCCCCTATTCTCTGTCTTTAGATCAGATCTTAAGCTATCTGAGATTCTCCGTTTCGTTAGTCTGTACTTTTGTTGCCTAGCATAATGTTTTCCATTTGAGAAGCACAGTATATATTAAAGAATCAAAACACTTGACATCAAACATAATAGTTTGCTAATAATTTCACTGTAGATTACAGATAGCCTTACTCTACAGTCACTGCAGTCACTGTGCGTATGTATACATGCATATATATAAATTATTTAAATTTACTTATGTATTGAATATATATATAACTTATTTTTTAATATTTACTTATGTGTTGATGTGTGTGCTTGAATTTTTGTACTCAGCGAAGCAGACATATCATAAATATAACTAGAGGCTAAATCTGTGTTCTAATG